GCCGCCGCCGCCATCGCCATCGCCGCCGTTTCCCGGTGCACCCCCCTCCGCGCCGCGCTCCGAGCCCCGGCCGTGATCGGGAACCTGCCCTGCTCCAAGCTCCTCGCGGCATCTGGAGGGGGGCCCTCCGTATTCCGCCCCGGGCAGCGCTGAGGCGTTTTAGGGCTTCCCTCATCCCCCTGGACTGTTCTGTGGGTGCCCCCCATCCCTCCCTGAAGCCTGGAGGGGCTGTGGGCTGCCCCCCATCGCCCCTGACAGTCCTGAGGGGATGATGGTGACACCTCCCCCTGCCCCATCCCCATTTCCCTGGACAGGGCTGTGGGGTGTCCCCCATCCCTCCCTGAGGGCTGTGGGCTGCCCCCATCCCAGCCTCCCACCGAAACCTTGAGGATTCCCTGCCCACCTCCCATTCCCATCTTCCCTGGGCATCCCTATGGCACCAAGGGCTGCCCCTCCATCCCCATTCCCCTCAGGCAGCCTGGGGGGGGGATGTCTCCTTGCCCTGCCCCCAGCACCCTCTCTTGCAGGGCATCTCGGTGCTCCTCCACCTCATTCCTCCTTCCTTCTCCTCCTGGAAACATCCCAGGGGCCCCATCCTCCCTGCTCTCCTCTGCTTCCATGGCATGGGGCTACATGGGGGGAGCTGGTCCTGCTGTGGGGTTGGCTGGGCGCCTGGCAGCCCGGGCAGGCTCCTGGGGAAGCTGTTGCAAACAAGGAACCGAAACCTGGAACCGGGGAGAGCCAGGGCCCTCCGTGCTGCTCCTTGGCACCCGCACTCATCCTCCTTCTGTTTTTATCTCCAAACAGGTGCCGGCGTCCTGCGCGAAGGATGCTCTCGCTTGCCTCTCCTGTGCCCTGCTGGCAGCTGAGGGTGTCCTTATAAACAGCCTGAAAACAGCACGGGCTGCAGAAGGTGTGGTGCCTGGCCCCGTGCCCGTCGGTGTCGCGGCTGTGTCACGGCTCTCGGCGCTCTGCTGACCCGCCAGGCTGTGGAGTAGTCTGCAATAACCCATCAGACATTCGGAAAACATCCGTGACTGTTAGTCATTTCTCATCTGCCGTAAACCTTTTCTAGATGGAAACTCTTGTCGGGCTGATGACTTATTTCCCAAGGGACTTTGGCATGGGCGGGAGTGGGGGGACAGGGCAAGGACCAGCTTATATTCCCTTCAGCAAGGGTTTGGGAGAGGGAGAGCAATGGATTTGGAAGAGCTTGCCTATGGAGGGGCGAGTTTTCCAATATCATCAGCCCAGAGGGAGAGATGCTGCAGTTCCTGTTTGTCTCTTTTGACATTTGTCATTTTGTTCTTTGCCTTAGAGCCACTTGGTTACACAGATGCTTCTAAAATGTCCCCAGACCCATCAAGGCAGTTCAGTTGCACGATGTGGCTCTGGCTTGGGGTATTTTTGTGCAGGAGAAGTGAAATCAGCGAGCCTTTAGTTAGTTTCTTTGCTGCCCACAGAGCTAAACAGAAGTTACTGATTTTAGCTTTGTGGCAAGTGCTATCTGAAAGAGCTCTGAACAGAGAAAAGAAACCAAGAAGAACAGAACGCACTGGGCTAATGCCAAAAGTGTTTTTTTTTCCCTGAACGGGAAAGGTTCGGATCCCAGCAGAGGCAAAAGGGCTCGTGTTTTTCTCGGAGGTCAGGGTGTTGGCAGCGCCACGTGTCCGCACCCCTGCTAGGAATGCTGCTGGCAGGTGTGAGCAGCGAAATCCCTTGGTCTTCCCGAGCAGGCTCGTGCCAGCTGCCTCGTTCTTCTGGTGAGCAGCTCTGGGGACAAGCTCGGTCCTCCGCTCCGATTCCGGAGCGTGCGGGTAGGCAGGCCGAGCAGCTCCAAGCAGACCACTTCCTGCAGAACTGACTTCCTCAGGGCTGAGGTGAGAAACAGGTTTTGTGGCCTGTGCCTTCAGTTTGTTCCCTTCTTATTCAGGTTCAGCATCCACTGTCTCTGTACTGGTAAGAAATGAGAAGTGTTTTGTCTTACTCAAGGCAAGAGGAACTGTGTCCTCAGCACTTTGTTCTTGGCTGATTTACTCCTGTCATCAGTAGCTGCACTCAGCTTCCCTGCTGCTTAATATTACACATTCGAAGGCGGCGCGTGGAGGCAGCTCTGGCAACCTCACTGACTGGTGTTTGTTTTTTTAGAGACTGACATGCCGGAAGAGGGTGTTCCCTGGACAGCTCTGGAGACAGAAGGGCTGTTTTTCTAGAGCAGGTGCTGAGAGACAGCAGCAAAACAGATCTCTCCTTCCTTGTAAGGCATCTACCCTGACCTGCACAGCACCCCTGGGAGCCCTTTGTTTGTGACTGCTGACTAAGGAACCTGGGGTTCATGCGTCTGAGCCTGCATCTGTTTCCTAGCAGACTGGACTGCAAAAAGCACGGCCAGAAAGAGGAGCAGAGAAGCTGTCTCTGTGCCTGGGAAACCCTTCAGAAGTGTAGGGATCGCACAGGAAACGAGCACAGCTCCACTTGAAAGGTGAGTCAGCGTTTCGGGGCGATTTAAATGGTTTGCTGGATGGCTTAGGTTGGTATTAGGCCTGTACATCTTCTCTATCCCTGCAGTATAGCAAGTCAGACAGAACAAATTAAATAGCTAGTGTCTGTATGATGACAGAGAAGGCCTGGTGGTGGAGATCCCCAGGGATATTTTGCTGTTTCTGAGGGCATAGGCAAGGTAAAATTTTTAACTAATGCTTGTATGCTTATGAAAACTAGATAAGCTTTCAGGAACACCAAACTTTCTCTTAGATATTAATCATTTATATGACATTTAACTAAACTTCTCAACTTGCACTTAGGTTGGAGACCTGCTGCTTCCATTTAGTCTTGTGTGCCCGAAAGCTTCCCTAGCTCCTAACTCTACTGGTTGCTATAGTAAGAGATTTCCTCCTATTTGCAAAACTTTTTGATAAATGCCCTTATTCTGATCAGAGTCTTTCCTGTTCATCCCCAGCAAAATCCCAAGGTTGGAGTTTTGCCCTCCATTTCCCAAAATAATGTAAAGACAGCATAATAGTAGAAAGATCCTGGTAAGACTTGTCTTGAAATCCAGAGTAAACTTCCAGTTATTTCCTGAAACTCCAGGGAATAGCGCTGTAACTGCGAGGAGCACAAAACGTGTGCTCTTTGTTCCAGCTCGCTGTACATCTCGGTGTTGTGAGGCTTCATCTCTGAAGGGGAACTGAAAAATTGAGGGGATTTCAGGGACTCAGTGTTTCTTTCCATGAGCTGTAATAAGTACATGGGGAGACATCAGTCTGTCAGCGCTGGAGCCAGAGCTGAGTGACTCTCTGTGGAATCCGTGATCCAGACAGCTGTTTTGTCCCGTTTTCAAACGCTGTAGGTTGCCTCCGTGCCACTCCCACCTGCTACAATGAGTGGGAAGTCCCTGCTCCTAAAGGTCATTCTCCTTGGGGATGGTGGAGTCGGGAAGAGCTCCCTCATGAACCGCTATGTCACCAACAAGTTCGACTCGCAGGCTTTCCACACCATCGGGGTGGAGTTCTTGAACCGGGACCTGGAGGTGGACGGGCGCTTCGTGACGCTCCAGATTTGGGACACTGCAGGGCAGGAGAGATTCAAGAGCCTGCGGACCCCCTTTTACCGGGGGGCAGACTGCTGCCTGCTGACCTTCAGCGTGGACGACCGGCAGAGCTTCGAGAACCTCAGCACTTGGCAGCAGGAGTTTGTCTATTACGCCGATGTGAAGGACCCCGAGCACTTCCCGTTTGTGGTTCTTGGCAACAAGATAGACAAACTCGAAAGGCAAGTGAGCACAGAGGAGGCGCAGATCTGGTGCCTGGAAAACGGGAACTATCCGTACCTGGAGACCAGCGCCAAGGATGACACCAATGTGGCCGTGGCCTTCGAGGAAGCCGTGAGGCAAGTGCTGGCAGTAGAGGAGCAGCTGGAGCACTGTATGCTGGGCCATACTGTTGACCTGCACTCCAGCTCCAAATCCGGGTCCTCCTGTTGTTAAGAGCAGCTGCTGCTTGAAGAAATTCCCTCGAACCAGCAGTTGGAGCGGGAAAAGCACGAGCAGCTCTGGGCACTCTGAGGAGGGCCCCGAGGACAATCCTGGGTAGCTCCCGGAGGAGCTACAGCTTTTCCAGCCGAATTCCAGCTGGAGTTTTCAGGCACAGGGATATAGCTGCCAGAGGGAGCTGTCAAAGAACACGTCTTGCTTCCATCTCCGCCTGTTTTGAGCAGGCCTGGGTTGTGCTGAAGAGAGCGAATCTCATCTTTACCAAGACCTGCGCGCAGAACAGAACAGAACAGAGAGGGCTCGAGACTCCCCTGGCCGTATTCTAATCCCAAAGTGACAACAGTAGCCCCACTAAACTCATGACCTTCCTGCCAAAGGAGAGTGTGCTCAGCACGCTGAACAAACCCTGCTGCGAGACCTCAGCCCATGCGACTGTGAGAATGCGAACGCTGGAGTGCCTGGGGTGCGTGTATCCTGCTCTGGGTAAGAGCAGCCCGTCCTGAGACCCAACTGTGTCACGAGTTGTTAGTACTGTGGTTTGAAATGGCGTATGAAGGAGAAGGACCCATGTCTGAGCGCTGCAGCAGCAGCTCTTTGTGGCTGCCTATTTCTGGTCTGTTTTTCCCCACTTCTAACTTGGTCTTGTTGTGTGTGTTACTTGGTGGAGAGCCCGGCTGCTTCCTGTTTCATGTCCGTGTGTTTTAGCTGCTCCGGAGGCTCAGCATCACACGTTGCTTCTCCCTGGAAGGAAAGCGCCTGTGTGGACACCCTCCTGGTCACGTCAGAGGGTTTAGAGCCACTCAGGAGCTCAGTAGATTGAGAGCATGAGCCCTGACGGGCTGGTGGCTTCTGTCACTAGTGATTTCAGTGCTGCGCAATGAGCTCCAGCCCGGGAGATGGTGGGATGTGTCCCGGGTGGCCGGGGGAGCTGCTGGAGCCCTCGCTCTGCACGTGGGGCCTGTGACCCCTTCGGTGACCGACGGACGGGCCGGTGCCTGTGGTGGCCTTGGGCTGTTCCTCTGCATGTGGCGCTCGGGGCTGTTCCCGGTCACTGCCCGCAGCGGCCGCCTGGCTCTCCTGGAGCGCAGCCTCCTCTCCAGCTGCTCTGACACTCATTATCCACACGGTTAATTGGCCTTCGTTAACGTCTGCTTTTTCCTGTCTGTTGTGAGGAGCTCTGCGCTCATTCCACCTCTGGCCATGGTACGTGAGGGGCAGGAAACCTTGGAGAAAGGAGCCTGGGCTTTGCTCATCCCGGCTCCTGCCCCTGTGGTTTTCATCCCAAGCTGTCCACGTGCAGCAGAGCTCGGTGCTCGCGGGCTGCCGTTTTCCCATTGTAACCTCATGTCCCGCAACTTCCCGTGCATGAGTTTGCCCAAGGCTCTGACGCCCTTTTCCGTGAGCGCAGAGGAACCTGTGCTGCCCCGGTGACAAACTGCTGCACGGTGCATCCTGCAGCTCCAACAGCAGCTTCCTTTGCGCTGTGCTTTAGGGCAGGGCCACCTCTGCCTTCACTGCCACCATGTAGCAGTTCCTGGGACAGCTCAGAGTGATCCTGCCCTTTCCTGCAAAGTAGATGTTGGAGGCATCTAATGATCCACAGCAGGGCAGGGAGCCTCTGGAAAACTGGGTCCCTTGTGGTGTGAGAGTAGACTCTGCCTCCATAGGTGCAACAGAGTTTTGCAAGTTGTAATTCTGTTTATTTAATATTGTTTATTTAATAATCCCTGACCTCTGCAGGCCTCAGTAGATTATTTTCTTCAGTTCTGATGTTTCCTTCGAGATCCGGAGCACTGTGAGCGGTGGTTCCGGGTGACAGCCCCGAGGCCGCACGTTCCCTGCGCCGCCCTCCAGCCTTGGGAGAGACCCCGGAGGAGAGAGGGCAGAAACTGGAGGAGCGGCGGTGCCGGGGGACACGGGTGCCCCGTGCAGGACCTCGGTGCGTGTCGAGGTGAAGAGCAGACACGTGCCCGGGGGTGGTACCACGTACCTGTTCTTTCCAACCACCGTTGGCTAGTTGATGTCATTTTAAAAACCTATTTTATTAGGCCTGTGTATTTTTAAGCTGTATTAAAAAGAGCATAGTGTTTTGTATTGCATTAAAATTGTTTAATTTATTTTAAACTGCTACACGCACAATTTCCCAAGGAGCCCGGATCCTGGAGACTTCAGCGCCAACAGCCTTCCCTCCTCGTGTCCACTCGTGCTGCTGGAGTCGTTGCTGCTGTTACAGAACTGGAATTGTAAAACTGAGATTCTACCTTTATTTAAGCAAATAAAACGTGGATGTATTCAAGTGAGTTCAAGAAGTGGCTTTCGGGTTTTCACTCAAAGTTCGAGCCAGCTCCTGCTTTCCGGAGGGCTGTGGATCCCTGTTGGTTTTACCAGCTGGCAGCGGAAAGCAGCCAGGGAATCCAAGCATTTTGTTTCAAACGAAGCGGTTGGTCGTTCCGGATTTCAGCTCCAACAGGAGCTGAGAAAACACAGCTCGTTTACAAGCCGAATGCAGGGAGCAGATTTGTCTCTCCAGGCGTTTATCAGAAAACAGTTTCATAACAAATATTTCACATTGCTTCCCTCTGTCACTGCAGTTTAATTTTTAGCCCGGGCTCGCAGCACCAAACCGCTCACACCACCAAATTCCCTCCTGTGATCTTGGAATCGCTTCCTCCATCCCCAGGGGGTCGTAATCGGAGCTGATTTCCGTGGGCTGCTGAGACAGACCCGGGCATATGGGCACTGTTCTGTTTCCTCCCCTGGCCGTGGCCGTGTCGACACTTGTCCCTTGCAGATGGTCACCTATTTTGGGTGGCTTTCCCCGCATTTGCACAGTCCCAGCCTGCTCGTGGCCTTGGCTGAACCTGCTGCTCGTCCTCAGCTTGCCCGCAGGCTCAGGCTACCCGAGGAGGGCGCCATGGGCTCCGCATCCTTGGAAAAGCTTTGGGAATGCTGCTTGTTAAACGCGCTGCTGGGGGGTGAGCGAGGGCCTCCGGCCTCTAATTTTGGCCATCCCAAAATGCAGGTGGAAACAGGAGGCCGGAGTCACCCGCAGGGAGACGCTCCAGGCCGAGGGGCAGCACGGGATGGAGCGGCACCGGGGACAGCGAAGACCCGATCTGGGGCCATTGTAACCACAAACACCCTGGATTTGAGACAGACATGGGAAAGCAGGGAGCAGAAAGCAGGCACGCGGCTGGGACGAGGTGCTGGAGGGACGTTGGTTTTATTTTTCCGACGTCTGGCCGCTAGGGTTGTGTCGCTCAGAAGCTCCCGGAGCATCTATGGGAAGAGGTGGGACTTGGGGGTCAGCACGTTGGTGCCGATGGGACCGGCTGGGTTTGTCCTGCTGCCCCTCCTGCCCCAGACCCGTTTCCCCCGCGCCGCCGCTCCGAGCGGCAGGCCCCCCCCCCCGGGCCGGG